GAGCATTGATGAGCCAACTTGAAGCGCTATGTAACATGAAAATTCAAATTTTTTGGTAGATTAGTTTTCAATTAATTGTATATATTGAATATGAACTAAAACGTTATTGTCCTATGCCAATATATATGGTCCTCGGCTGACAGCAACATTATTTTTGACAAAGCAGAAGCTGTAGAATGCAATTTCGTGTCTGTATTTTAGAATAGATTAGAACATTAGAATATACTTGAATTTTGTCATTTGTGATTTGGCCCTATTTCAACCTTTGAACGTGATCTGTATTTTTTTATTATTTCAGAACGGCTAGACGACCAGAAGTACAAATACAGCAACTTCTGAAAAATTACGCGGAAGAATCAGCAACGGTATTGTTCGTTTATTAGTAATATGAAAGACCGATTCTTGCTCGCGCACGCGAATAATAAATTTGGCAATAAAAATATATACATGTACTGTATCAAATAACTGTGCGTTTCATATATGTCAAAGGTATATATATGATATTTTATGAATGTTTGCTTGATTAAATTATTCTTGCGTATTACATTTATTTCAAGTAAATTGGAGGCCTCCCATAGCTGGTACATCTTACGAAACTTGATTTTTTCCATTATCTCTGGGTTTTCGTTTGGGAAGATTTATTAAAAAAAAAAAAAAACTTACAATTCAATTATACAGCATTACATTTACAAGTCGACATGAATGGGATTCATTACATTTTTGAAGGCGTACTGGTCACTCAATACAAAGTAACGTTCCGTTTTAATATATATATATTCCAGCGTGGTCCAGGCCCGCAGCTTCATTATCTGTAGCCCGCGTCGCATTTGCGCGAGTAGTATATATTAACAGTTAAATAATGTGTTTGGCTTATCTAAATTGTTAGCTGGCTTTCTATTTTTTTGGTCGGAAATATATATGAACACAAAATAGGCTTAGAAAACTAAAAATTGAATTAGGAATCTATTAGCCTAAGTTTGCTATGCATGATAACTAACTATTGATATAATGGCCAAACGATATAATTCCTGCCGGGTGGTTTTTTGCAACCAGCCTAAACAGTATTACAAAAAATGCTGCCTATATGTCAAAGAATTTAGTAATTATCTTCTGTATCTCAAATTTGGTAAAATTCGGTAATCAATCAATCTGCAGTTATTTGTAAGTTATTTTGTAAACATTACTTTAAAAAGAAAGCTAACGAATTTGAACAGATTTTTGAATGGATATGGGAAGGAAAATACAACAGTGCTGGTTTAGTATGTCCGCAAGTTGTTCCAGTGACAATCTAAAACGTCATTTTCTCCTCATGGCACTTTCTCTGTTATGAAAAGTTTGAAATCTTGCACTAAATGTAGATATAGTAAGATTTTAGTAAGTTTTTTTTGTGGTTTTGCATGTTTTGGCTTACAAATAATGAGCAATGTGTTTAGACAATAAAATTGTTTGTTTCGTATTCCACTGTTTACCTATTCTTAGCACTATTGTGGCCCGCGAACTATATAAAAATAATAGTGTGGCCCGCGAGACCGACAACCTTGGACCACCCTAATATATTCTATATATTCATTCATTCATGCTCATTGTTGTATTATGGACAGAGTTGTCAGCTACCCGTGATCACAAAAAGCCAGATCAAGACACAACAAAGCCAGAAAAATGCAACAATTACAAAAGCCTTATGATTTGTCAGATTTGAAACCCTTGGTAGAATAGTGAATTCGCACAGTTTGCAATATGCTGATTTAAAGTCATCAGTTGATTTAGTGGACCACACCAAATGTCCTTTCTCATTGAAAGTTGTAGTGTCGATTGCTATCATGATGAAGGGTTTGAAAGAAGAATTATTGAATGGCAGATTCAACCACCCTTTCGTGAGATATTGCGTGTATCTAACAGACAGACAGACAAACAAACGAGAATATCCGTAAGAGACCGAAGACTTATCGATCGAAAGTTAGGGGATCCCTGAAAACAGCGCTCTTACTCCATAGTGACACCTTGTGTCCCATCACTAATTAATTAATAACTCGCTAATTATACGACATAATTCATCTAAAATCATAGGCTTCTGGTACGACATATTATGATGAATGCACATGCAAAATCTGGAGCAGATTCGATCTCGCTTTCGTGAGGTATCGCGTGCACCTAACAGACAGACAGACACACAAACAGGCAGACAAATACCTATCAACATACTTACCGATCTTAAGATCGATAAGTAAAAACAGAAGAGAAATATTAACCGGACATCAATATTTTACGATTCAATATATACAATACATGGTGCCGCTTTAGTCTGTGATAAACGTACAATGTAGGCTACATGTTTCTATTAAACTTGCTATATATATATATGTATATATACCTCAGAAAATTCTACCTATACTGAACTATTGAAAAAATTTATATTATTATTTTAGATTCTTTTGAAGTGTTATGTAGGTGTTTGTTTTGGAGTGTTGACAATTATAAACTGGTTTACAGGTTTGAAACCATCATTTTTACTAAAACTAAAGCCCTCGGAATGCATATTGACCATTTAGTTATTTAATTTACAACTATCTTTTGGAAACAGAACTGAAAACAGACAAATAACATACAGAACTACGAAAACGAGGCCTCTCTGAAGTTCTGAACATCTGTGTGAACGGCTGCAAAAACTGCAATTGTTACGTCACTGTTGACTTACTTCTGATTGGTTATGGTTATGGCAATAAATAAGGAAATCAATGCTCGGAAAAAAGTAAGTGTCAAGTAGCTAAGCATTAGGCTATTGTTGCACACTAAATATTGTATTTTATATGATTTTAGTAATAGACACCAGAATGGACATCAAAAAAGTCAAACGAAAATTCTGACGTCAAACGTTTTTAAAAAAAGGCAAAACTGTGAATTTTGGCGTTATAAAAAGCCAATATGGCAACTCTGATTATGGAATGCTTGATTTCCACAAATGCTTTGAGGCAAGTGATCATGTAGGACAGGAATTAGGAATATTGTGTGAAATGATGATGCTATGTTAAATTGAATAATCCACCGCTGTCAAAATGATGCCACATTTCAAGAGAATATATGGCCATTATGGGGAAAATAATATCTTGGGTTTGTAATTGAAACAAATACACAGCATGAACTTAAATGGCTTATGCGTTTACAGCGCTTTTCATGTCGGCATGTGCGTATTCGTAGAGCGCGGTCGATAATATAGACTGGGTTTCAAATTTTCCAAAATGTAATAATGATTCACAGAACAATATTTCATCGTAATATCCATTAATTCGCGAATGAATGGGATTCTCTGGCACTTCGTGTTTCAACGTCTAAATTGTGTCGATTCAATTCTTGGCAACTTCAAAGAAGCAGTTTTGAATTTTCAACGAAAATTATATTCACCGTGGTAAACGGAACGTTTTATTAGCTGTTTCAATGAACTGAAATTGTGAAATATCATTCACTTGAACTATCGCTCGAGGTCATAGGAGGCAGTAAAATGAATGGCTGGATTTAGAGTATAACAAACCCCATGTGCTTGATTCCTTGTGCCCCTGCTCTTATTCACATTCGACACGGATATGGAATTTTTGGATATGGAACAAAAACGATTTCCAACTATTATTCTTAATACTGGTATCCAGGCCGGACAGCGACTGTCATAATGGCAACTTCATAATATCGACGTAATCAAGTGAGTGACTGTCAAACAGCGACTGTCATAATGGCGACCGCATGACCGCACAAAGTTAGGGTTAGAGTGTGGGGAATGGAAGGTGTGTGTCTGGAGGGTGGAAGAGTGCGTGTGCGCGTAAGGCTTGGATTGAATAAAGGAAGTGATGTCGCTGTTTCAAATGAATCGCTGTCGTGTAGTCCCGGTTGTGACAGTCGCTGTTTTAAATAAATCGCTGTCATGTAGTCCCGATTGTGACAGTTGCTGTTTTAAATGAATCGCTGCCGTGTGGTCGCTCTATTGACAGTCGCTATTTGGAACCCGAGCCCTAATAATATTCTATTCCAGTTTCCTATTTTTGTATACTATCTTAGAAATACACTATTATAGCCTATATACGAAAACATGCATATTTAAATAAATGTGGCGATTACAATTACGGACATTTGGATACTTATGGAAATTTGGACACCTACTGCCGCTACTCTAGCACAACCCTTTTGTGTCACGTTTTAAAAAAGTAAAATTTATCGCCTGAATTGAATTCGCAGTTTGTCTATTGCTTTCATTTCCCTCACAGCCAATAACTGGGGTTATCACTTAAATCAGATCGTTTATTACAGCAATGATTTATGGTGTTGTAAAACATTGGCATTGATTAAAAAGAATTAGCGGGGAGTTTAAATTCTTTCAAACAGACAACATATCTTATAATAGGAATCCCTATAATGTAGAATGCGTTCTGCTCAAAGGCATTATTTCGATCAAACTCAAATAGCAAAATAACATCATTTCATGAATAGCGTGACTTGTTCCAAATACAAAAATCTTTTACTCATTTTTGTTCTCTCATTTCTCAGAAATAAGGATGTAGGTAGCTGGTAAATGTTATATATTCAGCTGCTTTGCTGAATGTTTCTAACTAGTTTGGAAAACCTTCGCTTGTGTTGAATTTGAAGTACGAGTGACAAGAAGGGTCAATCGTTTAAGACCAACAAATGCATATGACGTTTTATTTATTTAATCGCTCTATACTCCATCAGTGATTACTGCTCTATTAAATGTGTCTACTCATGCACAAGTCACGCATAAACCTAGTAGAACTATTCATTAATCGCATATTTAGTTTTTGTACATCTTTCGAATCAATTTTAAATACCGATTTTTATTTTATTATTCCTGTTTTATCATCAATTCAATGAAACATAAATACCAATTTAATGAATGCACCCAAAGAGACTCCGCGCCAAATAAATGATACAGTAACAGCCATCTTATCTTGATGTTTGCAATTTATAAACATTACCAAGCTTTCATACCATTCTATCATTTTTTGAGCCAGTGCTAATAAAGAAGCCTTTTGTAACTAACTTTATCTAAAACTTTCGACTTTCAAACAGTTAGTCTCTCTGTTTGGTGAACGATTAAAAAAAAACTATGAAGTTAGTCATTCTTCTGGCCTTTGTCGCATTAGCATTTGCCCAGAAAATTTCTATACCAGGCGGTGTTTCGGAGAGAAGACACATTGTAGAAACGGATGATGAAGTCTATCTTTTAACCTCAGCGGTAAGCGCATTCCAGGAATTAAATATAAGACTACAATTACTTCTGAAATCGTAAGATTGAATGCAAATTTATGAATGCCATTGGCTGTTCGTGCACAGAGCATTGGCACCACTCTGATATCCGTCAGCCTATTTCCCGGTTCGCAGCACATTTATACAACTGGCTTGGTTTTGTTTGTGTGTCTGCAATTTAAAACTTCTTTATACAGCTAAGAGACACCGTCGAAAAGCAAAATGGTGTAAAATACCAGAAATTCAAGCCAGAATCTTACAAATATCAAGTTGTCAACGGATTCATGTATTGGGTTAAGGTGAGTTGAGCACAGTGATATATACCGCAAGGGATCGATCAATCAATGTGGCTAACAAAATATGTTTCACCTTTAATTATATTAGAAAATGTTAAACAATTCTTTTTTCTAAGATGTTTACGAAAGATTCGAAATTAATTAACTCAACTTTGCGTATAGACTATGATGATTTCTTTCGATTGAAACATCACTTTTCTTAAACCTTTCGAAAGTAGTACTTGGGTCGTGAATACCTCCGATCTTTACCGTATTTTTGAGTTCTTCATATTTCAAATATTGTCCACTTACTTTTTTTTAGGTCAAGGTCGGCCGTGGCGAATATATCTGGGTCAAATTTCACGTTCCGATTGCTGCTACTCACCCATCCTTGTCAGCTGTTGCTCTTCACAAAAATGTCGAGGACGAAATTGAGCCCTTTTAATCATCAGGCTATGCTGACTAACAAGCAGATGACGACTCTCAGTTGAATTATCGATTTCTTAGCTTGTTGTAAACGAAGATGCCAAGAATAAAAAATATTACGAACTATAGTGTTTCATTTTGCACATACGTGGCTTACGCAGACCAGGTAAATCCGACAGGCAAGGGATTTGCAAATCGCACGTATACTCTCAATTTTTAAAATGTTGGCAAGCGGGAGAACTCGTAAAATAATTGAAAATTATAAACACAAAATTCAAGAGTCTTACATATACGCAGATAGCTTACTAATACATTCATATTCATCACTATGAATTGGCAAACTGCAACCTACATTACGAGCTTCTTTAACCCTTTGGGCATCTTTCCGGTATATCGACGGGACAAAACATGAGGAGGGATTTCCCTACCTTGTCTGCATATAGATGAGCAAAACGAATCACTCGTTGAAATTCAATATCTGTCCAATATTAATTTTTTTCTATTGAGGGATAATACCCAACTAGAGGCAGAGGGAATGTTTGCCAACTAGAGACACACAATACATGAAGTAATAATTTAAAACAACTGAAAATCGGCGATAGAGTAATATGTAGCTCAAAACGTGTATATACATATCGTGTAGCGAGTCAAAATCAACGGCAAAGTTCATCATATCTTCACGGTGGATAAAAGGATTCCAGTTTTGTCAATATTTACTGATTATTCAAATTTCAAAAGAAATATGTATATATAGTTATTTTATAATATGAAATTAAATTAAATATAAAATTTCTGAAAGCTAACAGTACACTGTATAGTATTTTACAACCGAGGATTGGTGACTGAAGGAATGGATTTTATATTCTCGCAAACCTATTGTTGGAAAATATATATTGTGCCTCGTGAATACGCTTTGCACTTTAATAAATATGAAGTAAAATCGAAAACTTTTTCCAATAAATCAGTTGAGATATCATTCGGTTATTAATATCAGGTACCGACCAATTATAGAACGGTCATTTTGGACATTGTATATCTACAGCTCATACAAGATGAAAACTAAATTATTGGTCATTGGATTTTTAAACTCAAATTCATTGAACAAAGAATTTGAAGCATTGTCTGATTTTTTATAAAAGTACGCAGATGGAGTGCTGGCATTCAAATATCCGCGCGGTAGAATAAATTCTAAAGATTTGAGTGGGTAAAGTGGTCGTTTTTGCTCGCATAATACCCAAAAAACTATTGTGTAGTCCGTCGACCCGATCAGACAGTGAAAGCAATAAATAGATAGTACCTTTTTGGTCATGTTGAATCAAGAAAACGGATATAAACTTATTGTTTTCTGCATTATAAATACGACTATACATTGTTCAAATGGCAGAGTGAAAGGGACAATCGACTGACGGAACAAAATGTACGAACGACTTATCAATAACAGCGTCTGAGCACAATAAATAATCATCCAACGTACCAAAGGCATGTTCCTTTCAAATAGGCGACCTACAATAGGTAGTTTTTTGTGTAATTTCTTTGTTTGATTTTACTCAGGTTTACAATTCTTACAAGAGCTGGTTATAATACCATTTTCAAACAGTTTCAGTACAATCGCTACGGTGGATACTGGACAATATTACATATTGAATTAGCCAGCGTACTGCTGTTATCATCATCATTTTGGATCCTAAAGGCATCTTTGAAGTACAGAAGATGAGGAAAGCATATTTAGACGGGGTAAGTTACATTTACAAACTGAATACCTTAACCACTAATTTTATGTATATATATCAAAACCCTCTCTTGGGTAATGACCAATGAATATTTTATTGAATCCTATATTTTCATAGAGTGAATTGAAATTTTAACATTAATAAAAGTAAGATGATGCTGATTATCGGTATTTTTAGGAATTTTTTGGGGTAATGTTGTTCTTTTAGCAAATTCCTAGTTAATATATGATTTATGTGCGAAATTGAAGTTTCATAATATTTTTGCCACGTGGGTTTTCAGTTGTTTTTACTAGTACATATTCTGGCATCTGTATACTAAAACGCGCCCTTGTTGCCGAATTCGACTTTTTTTATCCTTAGTGCTTACATCTTGAGGGGAGACGATATTTTATGTAATGGATATGTGATTGCATATATATATATATCGTCACGCTAATAACCGAATTGCGTAAGTCATATTTAGCAGTTTTGAGAAAAACGTGAAAAACTTCCTAATGATATTGTTATGCCATTGAGAGTCAATAATTTATCATGGTTCAATTTTTTTATCGTAGCCGGATTTAGGTTAATTTGTATGACGCAGTTAAGTGACGTCATACTGGCGCACTGTGACTTACGCAGAAATGTGTCTATAACTTGGGGACATACGCAATTTTGCAACTATACTATATGCACCAGTCCTGAAAACTGATCATTCCAAAAACGAATGTAATTCTTAGTATCTACAATGTCTAATCCCCAAAATAGCTAATCAGTTTCAATTACATTATTTTTTATGTTTAAAAATATATAGTTCATCAATATAACACGTTCTGCACACCCACCGAAATAAGACTAAGATTAAATATAAAGAATAAAACAGCAATGCACCCAATATAAAAGCCAACCAATGTGAATTGGACTCGGACAGTGAATATCACAAGTGCACGTCTTCCTATACTGTAGTATAAATTGAAATTAATACGCGCTAAGCTAGAATCTGAGATGCAAAAACTCGAAAATCCTTAGCCGAGGTTATTTTGCCTTTGTGACGTCACAATAGTCCTGCGGTACCAATGATAATTCATTATGACGAAACAATTGCAAAAATGTGCATGTCATACTAAATCTCCATTTTTATGGGTTTCGGAATTCTTAAAATAAAATCTGAGTTAACAGACAGGTGCGCAGCATTACATAAATACCTAGTTTATAAAAAAAACTCAAGATCGCCAAAAATGACTTACGCAATTCATTTATTAGCGTGACGATATATATATATATAATGGGTTTTCTTGAACCAGATTTTCGTAAATATATTTCAGATTAGGCCCAGTACATTTTGCGTAGAAATCTTAGATTTGGATTATGTGTACATTATCCATGTTTCATTTTTTTGCACTTTAGAATACTTTTTAATCAAATATTTAAACTGTGAGCCACAAGCAAGCGCGATTAACATAGAACTAGTTCCTTTCTCAGAGTACCCTATACTTTTACGCGACAGAAAAAAATCTAATTCGTTCCGTTTTTCATTTAAGAATATGTACAAGTTTGACTTAACATTGCCATTCTTTCTCTTGTCTAGGATCATTTTACTTTTACTCTTTACATGCTTTTTAATAATAAGACGAGAGAGCGTCACGATTATAAGCGAACTAGGTGCATAATTATCACCGCACGCTGGCGCTATTCAGTCGCTTTTTATGGGCGAATTTGATGACATGAAATCCAAAATGGACGCAATATAGGTGTCTCTGAATACGTATATTTTGGCTCGACGCAAAATGTTTTTTAAAATATTATCAGTCTATTTTTATTTGTTTGTATACAATCTAATGAAATCTCTTCAAAATAATTCTAATTCGAATTGTTAGGCGCCTAGTTATCAGCATATTTCATGAAATTTTGAATTACGTGACATGAATAAATTGATTGAAAGTTATTTTAATATTATTAAAAACTCAATTTAACATAGTAGAATGAAATAGGTGAATAAAAACAAAATTCTTTGAAAATTTACGTGTTTTGTTCCTATAATTATTGTTACTAAGTTGAAAGGAAATTAAGCATTCGAGTGGCGTAATTGACGTTAATTTTATTTTCATTGTTTTTCGGTAAATAGGTCGCAATATATGCTACTTCTTGCCTTATTACGGAGAAACTTCTTAAAAGTTTCATGCTTTTGTATAAATTTAAGAAAATTTTTGGTAATTTTAGTAATCTAGTTTTAGGATCTCACTCAAGTGTCCTTAAATGTCAACTTGAGCTTTGAGACAACCGAATCCATTTATACAAAACTACACTATTTGCGAGATCACTGCGATGCAACGCAAATGTATAACTTTGCACTAGTTTAATAATATCATATATTAAATCACTATGGTTGAACTTCAATATTATGTGACCGACTTTTTATTGAATTATATATCGTCGCAATCTCGTCACGCGATATGTTTTACGGCGGCCATTTTGATAAAAAAAAACGTTCAAGCTAGAGTAAACACAGCTTCTTGCAAACATTTTGGTGTCGAATATAGTTAGAATGAAATATGATGCTTAAACAATTTCATCAGAAATATTTACCGTGAATACTGGATGATGCTTTTATTTATTTGATTTTGAGGTTTTATGAAATTAATACTACAAGAAAGGCCATGATTTTCAGAATTTTTTTTAAAAAATTTCGGAATTTTTTGTAATGAAAAGTTGCACATGAAAACCTCCTGGTACGGGCAAAATTTCCAGGTTTTGGTGTTAAAATATCCATTTCTCGCAAAACTAACAACGTTTCTATTCTCAAATGAGTTATTTCATTGAATATCCGAATAGTTCACGCAGATGTATCAATATTAATCGAAGTTGATACGTGTCAACCATGGTGGGCCGTGTCCGTTTCACATTTAAATAATATCCCAAATTAGTACGCCGATATTGGATTGAATATTGTTCTACTCAAACAACAACCTAGCTGAGTTTTTCTGTGCGTCTAGTAATAATAAACAGACTTCCCAAAATGCACTTGGAAAGTTGTTTTATGGCTTCGATTGGAATTTCAATTTAATACCATCATCCCGGCATGCCATGACTTGATTGAGATTTGGTAGTCACGTGAACGCTGTAACGGCTGGCACTCGATGGTTAAAACTTCTATCATTCTGTTATATCATATGTAAATGGTAAAATAACAGGCGAAAACCGTTCTAAACCTTCGTTTCAAACAAAGTATTACGTATTGAAAAAATTAAACTTTAAATTCACGAAAGCATAATATTATTTTATCGTTGGATATAATAGTAGCACACACGCGATTCGTAGCCATTTTATAGTCACTGAAGCGTTCACATTATAGATCTACATTGAATTACAGCACGCATGGTTCGAGCAAGGCGTGTGTCGGGTTTTGTAACGTCA